GTTTTTGGGTTTTGGGGTTTTTTTTTTTTTTTTTTTTTTTTTTTTTTTTTTTTTTTTTTTTTTTTTTTTTTTTGCTGTTAAGTTTTCCTGAAGCTGATGAATGCCTGAACACATCAGCCCTATAATCTCTGGTGCTTCAGTGTTTAAGACAGCAGGTAGGAAATTTCCCACTTGAAGCTGGTGACTGAAGGACCAGTTTCTTCCAGAAGGAGTGTTAGTCTACCGTAAGCAGTTTGAAAAGAAAGGGTTTGCAGAAGTTTGCCTTTACGTGTCATTTTTACAGACGAGTGTATTCCTTCAATGCCTCCAAGAGCACAGTTAGGTAGAATTCAGGCAGCTGGGCTGCCTTCCAAGTACTGTGGTCTCCGAATGACCTTTTCCCGGTGTGCTGCAAAAGGGACTGGCTTTATTTTTTTTCCTTTTTTTGCACCCCGAGAGCAGCACACTCAAGACGACAAAAAAAGAACAGGGCTCTCTTTGGCCAGCGTGCCTTCAAGCTTCAGCAATGCATGTTGAACAAATGGAGACGAGAGCTCCGTCCATTGTGAAGGGATGACTTACCATGTAGATGTGGAAGACCTGTGCAGTATTTTTTTTTTTTTTTTTGATCGAAAAGCTTGGTGCGATTCTAATGTTGACCACTTAAAAGAAATGAATGTCTGTTTTCTTTTTCTTTTTTTTTTTTTTATGGTGGCAACTGGCTACTGTATAACGTCTGTGAGCGTGTGTGTGTGACTGCAATCCATGCATGCGAGTCCTACTGGTAATATGAAAACCTGCTGTAAGACTGCAAGAAAATTCACTGTAGCTTTGCTTTAATAAACGGTAGAGATTTTGTTAGTAACAACCTGAAGGAAAAAAAGGAAAAAACAAAGAGCTGAAACTAACATTCCCTAGAGTGCTCATGTGGAAGAGAGCACAGTTCAGACTATGTATCTTGTTCTCGGGTTTTCTCCCCATCCCTTTTATAATTATGGTCGTCCAGATCATTACTGTTATGGGGAAAAAAAAATTGAAAACTGAACTCAGACATACTCAGATTTGATTGATTGAAAACCAAAATCAGTTTTAAATAAGGTGGAAACGAAAATATAATGCCTTTTCTGATAACTTGCCCATGTGTATGCGTATCATTTTGTGAGTTAAGAACAAGATTTGTCTTTAGTTTGTGGTTTGGTTTGGTTTTGTTTAACCGGAGGTATGTAGCAGCACTGTGCTGGATACATATGACAGAGCAAGACAAGTGGTGCTTATTTCAGTATTTTACCCACACGTGTGAGGAGAGCACTTTTACCTTACAAGGTTTAGGAGAATCTCACTCCGTTGCCTGTCACAGCCTTTCTCTTCCATCAGAACAGCTGATGAAGACGGCTTCTCAGTTTGTGTCTTAGGGGGCTCTTAGGAATGAAGGACTTTGATTTGGATTCAGGAGACCTCGTTCCTGGATGCCTGGAGCGCGAGTGGGAACGGAGAGGCTGTGCGTGCCCTGGAGCCGGGCTGGCTCACTGTGTGCCACGGCTGCCTGGGGACTGGTCTCTTCCAGCTGTGTTCACCAACCACATGTATCTTTCGAGAAGAGAATTAAAGATTCCCAGTGCCACCCCTAGGAATTCTGTATGTATTGGCATCTGGGTTTGTTCCTCGTGCCACAGAGGAACTTAAAGGACATGGGGTGGGGTTTTACTGCTGTAAATCCTGGGGATGGCCCGGTGCCAGTGGGAGACCCTCTGCTAACATTTCTGTTGATATAAGACAAAAATCTCCATGTTTGCTTTCCTGCCATCCCACCAAGGCTGGGGGAACCCCCCACTTCTTCTCTGGACATAGAGGTGAGTACCAGTAAGCCGAGCTGATGTTTCTAATCTTAAAAAGTCAAGAAGAAGCAGTGGTGTGCCTGTTTTTTGACTCCTGGAGGTTTTTCAGGCTTTTAAAGACCATAAAGAAACAAACAGGGCACAAACCGTGTCTCTGAAGCTCACGTGTGCCTGAGGAGGAGCAGGACTATCAGTGTGGCTCTCAGTACTTGAGGCTTTTAGACCTGGACCAGGGGCAGCTGGTGCAGGGAGGAGGAGTGGTGCAGGGCAGGGCACTGGCCAGCTGAGCTCCTCGGAGACATCCCGCCTGGTGCCTCTTCAGGGGGAAAAACACGGGCAGGCAGAGGACTCCCAAAGCTCCAGCTTCAGAGCTTTAGAAAGGTGCTTGATCCTCATGTGTATCCCTTTGTAGTAAGCCTGCACAGCCCTAACAGAGCTCTGCTCCAAATGCACGCTTTGGTGTAAAATGCTGGAGACGTGAGGACACAGGCAGGTGTGCATCTGTAACACCGGAGCACCAAAAAACACCCATTTCCAGCTATAAGGGGCAAGTATGATATGGGAGTCGTGAATACGTCGTTTCAAAACTGAGTTGCAAACAGTGCAGCACGATTGAGAGCAAATTGGTGTTAATCCACTGCTTGGTGTTTTTCTTTACAGCGTGCTTTAAGTGTTGATGCCAGTAATATTGGAGTCTATTTTTGCTGGAGTCCGTGGCAGCGCAGTGCTGCTCATGGGGCGTGTTTTCGGCTCCGAGGGCAAGGACCTGGCGGGCGTCCTGGCAAGCTTGGCCTGTGTCGCCTGGGGACAGGCGCTGCAGGGCACCGTGCGGTGGCTCGGCGAGAGGGTCCCCCGGGCACAACAGGGGTTCCTGGGACCGATGGGTACTGCAGCGTCGCCTCGGTGTTCCCGAGGGAATCTTCGGCTCCAATGTAAACTCCTGCTCTGGGAACACCCATGCAATTTTCCTGCAGCATATCATCGCGTGGTTGTACAACCCAGTGGATGGGTGTTGGCTGAAGATGGAGGAGGAGGGAATTGCATGTCTTGCTGCTTGTTGGCAGCCTGCTCTCAGAGCTCGTACCTGCCCAACTCGAGGCTTAGGAAAGCTGAGGCGCGGTTAAGCTTCTGCGTTACACGTAGTCATTGAAAACTTCCTGGGGCAGGGAACCCGAGCAAGCCTCCAGGACAGAAGCAGAATCAGCAGGCTTCGCTGACAGCACGAGGCTGCGCCGCTGGGCAATGGGAGCTTTGGGCTCCCCGGGTGCCCCGTGCCGCTTGGGCCGTGCGTCGGCGGTGAGAGCCTGGGCCGTGCTCGCTTCCTGCCCCGCGCAGCCCGGGCTCCCACAGCCAGATCTCCTCTTCTCCTCCGCACGCCCCAGCTGGCCTCGTCCTGCCGTGACCCGCTCCCAGTGAGCTTGGCAGGGAGCCGGGGCACAGTCCCGCTCCGGTGAATAAACTCCCCTTGCCTCTCCCTGAAGCCTGCTGCCTCCTGGCCCTCACTCACCCTCCCTGTGCAACACATCCCGGGGAGGTTTTTCTCCCCCTTATTTTTTTTTTTTTCTTCTTGTGTTTATACAGGAAAAGCCTGGACTGGGCTGGGAGGGGGGGCAGTCCGGCAGCCCCCTGTCTGGAGGCAAGCCCCACAGCCTGGAACGCCGGGATGAGTTGCCTTTCTTCGTCAGAGCTGGTTTCCCCCCTTCCCTTGCAGCACAGATCTGTTTTTATCAGATGGGACTGGTGCCCGCACTGGGCGTCGCAGCGGTGGTGCAAACGCTGCAGTCTCTGTGCCGGGGGCAGTCACAGGCTGCCGGGATGTTTCTTGATTTGTTTTCGGCCGGCGAACAGCTGTGTCCTGAGATTTGTGCTTACTCAGATCGCCTGGCACTGTGCCCGCCGCAGAGCCCGCAGGTATTTTGAGCATCGCCCGCTCCTCCTGCGCCAGCCGCAGCTCTCCGGCACAACCCAGGGCCAGCCGGTGCCTGGTGCAAAGCGGAGCCCCTCGAACTCGGAGGGCTCCTGAGCTGAGCTCCTGGGTCAGCCGAGCACTGTGAGGGTGGCTGTGCCCCCCCCCCAAAATGAGTTGGTGCGATGGAAAGGCTTGGGCTTGCTTTGCCCGGTGCCCTTGGGTCCAGTCTCAGTGAGCTCTGCCTCTGCTTCATGGGGTACCCGAGGTACGGTGTGGGAACAACTGTGAATGAAAAAGCTTCACCCTTTCCACCATCACTGATTCCTTTCTTGCAGACCCCCTCGGCCACAGGGAGACAGAGCTGCTGGTTCCCGACCCCCCCGAGCTGCCCTTCGAGCCCTTCGGTGCTGCTCTCTCCTGTCCTGGTTCCCCCCGTGCCAAGACGCCGAGCAGCCCCAGAGGGAGGGCAAGGACCCAAGGAGGCCCAAGCTGTTACAGCCGCAGGATTATTTCGGCAGCAAAAGCCTCGGCATTCCCAGCGGCTGGCCGCCCTTGGGTGGGCCGAAGACCTCGGGCAGTTGCGAGGGTTCCCCC